TGGCACTTGCACATCTTCTTTAGTACTGGTCTCATTAGGACTCAAACCACTTTGACCAGCATGCAAACAGCTGACAGTGCAGCTGCAAATCACTTTGCCATGGCAAGGATGACAGGCAAGTTACCAGACATAAACACTACCAAACAAGATCATGCTGAGCACATGAGGGACACTGGGATTCAAACTCATGATCACATGGTTACAAGGTAGTTGTTCTAAGTCATCGATCTTTTCTTCTAGGCACAGATACAAGAGTTTATTTATTTATCTATCTATTTTGCTGTTTTTGGTCACACTTGGGAATGCTCAGGGGTGATATATGTACATATATATTTCAATGATATTCTTCTCTGACTTCTCTTTATCTGGTACCAGAGCTTCATATATGCAAAGCAACTCAACTGCTGAGCTACATCCCTGACCTCTGACATTCTCATATATATATATATATATATGAGAATATGAGATAATATATATATATTATCTCCTTGTTGGAATTTCCATTTTGCTCATTTTTCCCCCATGAGATAGTGATTAACTTTATAATTTGAAGACTTTCTGCAGTAAATCACTTATCTCTATTTCATGAAATTCCTTTATGTCTTCATCTTTTTGTTGTTGTTGTTAGGAACCTGTTCCTCTATTGTTGACTTTGTCAGTTTTATGCATTAAATAAAATGACCAGTTCTCAGTCTTGAATGAGTGGACTCATGTAGATGAACCTTATTGTTCCATCCTGTTCTAACATTTGATGATCTCTCAGACCTTTGACATTTTCCCAACAGCCTACTTTATTGGGGTCAGTACCCATCCTCTGAGTAATGTATTCCAAGATCTGTATCTTCCAAAGGAGGGTTTTAATCAGCAGACTAGATTCAGGCTGATTGGAAGTCAAACCTCCAGGCAGTAAAAAAAAAAAAAAAATACATAAATACACCTTTCTGTGGAAGAGCGGGAGATGGGTGTCGTTTTTGTTTGTCTCTGGGAGACGTGGGGTAGTCTTTGTTCCCATTTCATTGAGCCAAGGAGCACTGGCTACCAGTGTTAGGGTGTTAACAGATGTGCCCTGTGGCTGGCAGTCACAAAAGCTGGCATGCCATGTACATAAGTTCATTTAGTTACAGACCCCAAGACTTGTCTGTTGAAAAATATTAATAGGCCATAACTCCATCCCCAAAGCTATTGAAAGATGGGGATGAGGTGGGGGTGGGAAGGAGCTCATGCCTTACCTCAAGGGAAGCAGCACAGGACAGAATGTCTTGACTGGCTTCCTAAGGGAACCTGATGTGGGATTTTAAGTTCCACATGGGAATCCAAAAACACAGGTCCAATCAGCCAACTTCTTTATTTGTTGCCAAGAAATGCTACACTTGATTTCTGGAATTGCATGGGGTCTGCTGGTCTGCATATGCCTAATTGGCGTTTGTTGCACACAGCTCCAAAGATTGGCCTCCAGCCCTAGTGGAGATCAATGACACAGGGTCCCCCTAGGATGGCAGTTTCCCATTAGTGCCACCCCTGAAACGTCAGGGAGCTTTCAAGCTGCTTAATATCTTGCCAGAACAGGGTTGGGAGTCTCTGTCTTGCTGGGCTGGAGCTGCAGTTAGGCTTGGTGATCTTGCCCTGAAGAATTTGTAGACTGGGCAGTGTATGGCCTTGAGATGTCATGTTGGGAAATTCGCTTAGCTTGTTCTGAGGAATTTACAGACTGTTTCTTGACTGGGATAAGGGGATGAGTCCCATCCTTATTCTGTCTTACGTCCACTGGTGCTGAAAACCAAGGGCCGGACAAAGGGAGACTACAAAAAGGTGACAGGCTTCTTGGCTTCGAGAATGTAGCTGGCCCCAATTGTTCCATCAGAAACCTGAACCTCAGGCCACAATTATTTTAACTATTGGCCTTTTTCTGCTGCCCATTGTCTTCTATTCTGTCACTGGAGAGCAAGATGCTCCATAAATTCTTGGAACAAAGTCCTAGGACAAGCAGGTAGGCTTTGTTCAGAGGTGGGGTATAAGAATGATGTGCTTACACAGTTGTTTCTGTGCTGTGATCAGGGAATGGAATCTAGCGAGGACTGTTATAGTTACAAACCGAATCTACAAACCAAATCCCATTTGCCACCAGTCAGATGACGAAGCTGTTTAATGGACAACAGGCATAGACAGCAGGTACACGAACAAGTTCTGCTCTGATAGAAACCATAGTGTGGAGTAACATAACAGTAAGAAGCCGGTATGCTGCCATAGTCATAGAGGCCGGCTGGAGGAGGGGAGTAGGGGGAAGCAAATTGGGGTCATTGGTGTGGAAAATGGACACTGGTGGAGAGATGGGTATTGGATTATTGTATGACTGAAACCCAATCACAATCAGCTTTGTAACTTTATTTCACGGTGACTAATTTTTTAAAAAAAGAGTCCTTGGAGGTGGTTGGAGCAAAAGTACAGTAGGTAGGGAGTCAGACTTGTACGTGACCAACTGGGTTCAATCCTAGCACCCATATGGTCCTCTAATCCCCTCTAGGAGTGATTCCTGAGCACAGAGCCTGGGGTAAGCCCTGAGCACCACCACTGGGTGTGGTCCAAAAACTGAATAAGTCTTTGGAGAAGATCAAAGTCCTTACAGGTGTGTTTAATCAGAAGCCAGTTCCTGAGCCTCTTCCAGACACACTGGGTGGTAGCAGGACACACCTGACGCCATCATTAGTAGTACTGTATGTACATGGAGGTTATCTCAATAAAAATGGGAGGGAAATATTAAAAAAGAAAAAAAAACCTCTGCTGTAATTCCTTGGAACCTATGAACTAAGTCAAACTGGTTACCTGAATGAGGTGAGACTGGGTAAGACAGGTGACACCAGGTGAAACTACAAAACCTGGGCTGCTGGGTTAAGTGCATAAATTCACAGGAGATTCTTGTGAACTGGACTGAGGCTTGAGGATAAGGGTGAAAGCACAAAGATGTATCTGTTCCACCCCTCTTCAGAGAGTACCTCAATAGACCACCAAATGTATGCTACGATCAATGCTTAAAGATAAAGTCTCCTGCTTTCAACCAGTGGTCTCTACACTGGGATCTGGGATGAATACACAACAGTTTCCAGGTCGCCGTGTGTACCCTCTTGGGAATGTGTGACACACTGACTTTCAAGGTTAATGTTTGGGAGTTTGTCTGACAAACTGGGATGCCAGATCTGAGTTCGTAACTTTTATTTTTCAGAGTTAGGGTGATAGCGTAACGGACTGGAACACATACTTCGTGAGACTCTAGGTTTTCTGAATGGTGACCTGAGCAATGTTAGAAGTGACCACTATGCACTGATCCAGGGGTAGCCTGGGTGGTCCCTAAACTAATTATATATATGCATATATATACACATATATATGCATATATATAATCCTTCATTACTGTGTGAAGTCTGGGGTTTTAGCTTCCCACCTGATTATGGGCTGCTGTACCAGGTGTGAGGTTTTTGTCAATTGTCTCCATTTTTATGTTTACCCAACATGGAGGATTTTTCTGGACAAATCCTAGATCTTGGATTTTTTACTTATTTTTTTCAGAAGTGACTGTTTTAAAGTAATAGCAGATGTGTTATACTTTGGATGAGCTGAATTCAGGAGCCTTAACCCTTATTGCCTTAACTCCTATACTATCTCTCTGGCCCCCTGATGGTGGCTCTCTTAAGATTTAAAGTATCAATACTATATATACTATAAGCTTCAATAAGATTCTGAAGTAGAGGAGTCTTCCAAGTAGCACTCAGGAGACCCAGGACTACTCCTGGCAATATTTGGCCAGGTAGCTCTGTGCTCCGATTGTGACATAGTACTCCTAGTACTATGATCCACTAGTACTAGTGGATCAGCATAGTAAGTTACTATTCAGATCTATTAACAAACAGCAATAACAAATAGTGAAATAAAACTTAACAGCTATTTTAAGCCAGTATAGCCTATTACTAAGTGATTAGGACACTTGCAAAAACCAAACAGCTGACTCAGTGTTCTATGTACGAATTAACTCTCACTTTATTTTGGATTGCAGAAATCTTATTCCTTTTCTATCCAGACAACTTTTATTAACAGTAACTGGAATTCTCCTGTGCAACTATGGCACACACACAAACTGGACCCATTCATTATGATAAAGAGTTTTAACTATTAGAAAATAATTTATGGACTGAAAGATATTTTCAGGAACACTGCTTTCATTAGGCCTTTATGGTCTAAGAGCTTTTAAGAAAAATTCAATGAAGAGATTTGCTTTAGAAGAATTTTATGGGCATATGATTAGCAATATTGAAAACATCTGAATTTAAAAAATGAGACAACAGTAAACTCCCACTGGGAATAAATAGCTCTGGATGCTATGACTAAATAAACAGAATAGTTATAAAATTTTCTTTCACAATATAACAAAAAAGATAATCATAACTAAAAAGGTTAACAGATTTGATTATATGGCAGCTTTACATAGTTTTCATTCTATAAATAATTTGTAACATATTTTAAAACTCAATGAACAAAGAAGAAAAATTATTTATTATATTCCACAATTCCAGGTACTTGGATTAATAAACACCTAGGATTTTAAACCTTTATGCCAGAGACTGATACTATCCAAGATAATCATAAGGAAAATTCTCTAAAAGGTATTTATTCTCCAGAGTCATTAAAGAACTTTTTTCTTTCTTCAAAATATTTACCAATGGAAAAGAAAACAGATGCCAGGAAAATTTTGTAACAATGGTCTGTTTGCAAATTATGTATACATACCTTCAAAGTCTTTTCAAAATAGACCCCCATTTCTTTGCTAGATTAAATACTTTGCACAAATTAAGTGCACAATAACAGTTTCTTTTCAGAAACTTTACATCAGTAACCTTATACAACCTTTAGAGAAGAGGATGCAAAACTGAAGACAGGTAACATAAGCTTACAGCTTTAAAACAAAAAAAAAAATTAGAGATAATAAATTACAATTTTAATTTTTATTATTATTACTGCCTGCTGACAAATTCTACAATTTGGAGTTCATTTCAAATCCTTCTAAATGTCTACATCATGAATTAAATATTTATGTACAGAATAAAGCAGATGTATTTTTTAAAAAGTAAATTGCTTTATAAATTATAGGCCAGAATCAGATGAACATAATCAAAAGATATAGTTTTGAAAATGCCATCAAAGGATTTCAGAGCTCAGATTATATAGGCTTGTTTGTTAATTCTTAGTTGGGTTTCAAGTATTACGGAGTTGTATTTGAAGAACAACCTTAATCCTTGCCACTTTATAATCTGTACACTAGTAGGATTTGAGCAGTAAGATTATTTGAAGTATTAAATAGGTAATATTTATGACAAATATCCTGAAGATCACCCAGAATAAGATGAAGAACAAAGTAAATCTAGAACAAGAAAAGGGAAGCTACATTTATTAAAAAATAAAAACAGCCATTTCTGATAACAAAACCATTTGAAATCCAAATACAATCAATATACATTGTAACAATGCAAAATGAAGATTCAACAAGTAAAACTGTTTATAAACATTTCGGAAGAAGAGAGGGACAAAGCTTCCTCATGTTGCAGGCCTGCCCACATGCACACCCTGATCCTCTTTCATGTTCTGTACAGCAGTTTTGTAGGTGTGCATCCATTCTGCAAACCAACTGTTCCTGAATAAAATCTCAGCTTCTAAAGGAGGGGATCCAGAACAACAGTCAGTAGCGCCACTTCATAAAAAATAGTCATAGGCTGAAGAGTAGTGACAACCGTTTTCCAAAATCTCCAGTTTTAACAAAAGGTATAAACTACTAAATCTGAACTCTTTCACATTATTTTGCATGAGTATCAAGTACTGTGTAAAAATTTATGTAAAATCTTAAGTTAGCCAAAACTAGTTAGCAAAGTTCTTCACTCTCTTAGCATGGCTGTTTTGTTTGTTTTTGCTTTGTCACTAACAATCCTCATCAAACCCAAAGACTTTGAAAAAAGAGTATGTATACTGCTGAAGAAAGTATCAAAAATGTAAATGAACTTCCATTTTAAGAGACACACAGTTCCTGTTGGATACTGGACTGTGAGAGTTTATTATTTTCAGTTTTTTCATGTCCTGGAGCATGGCAAGTAGTCTTCCGCTTAAATAATCGAAGACTCAATCGTAACAGTTCATTATCCACCACTGGAGCATTGGTGTAAGCTTGTTTCACATTGCCCTATTCAGAAAAAAACAAAAAACAAGTTTAAAAAGTACACGTAAGATGATAGTAGGAACAATTAGGCAGGTTAACATCTAAAGAAAAGACAATTTAATAACTCCTTTAAGATGAAATATTTTCAGACTCAAGATTATCTTAGAAAAGAAAGCATTATTTTTTGGAGGACACCTAGTCTAACCTCTTAGATAGGAATCCTTCCAAAAATCTTTGACAGGTAACTAGCCTTTATTATTATTATTTTTTTTTTAATTTCTATTAGTGACAAACCAAGAGGTACAGTTGTAGACCTACAAATCTTTGTGCTTGGGTTTCAGTCACACAATTAAGTACCCATCCCTCCACCAGTGCCCATCCTCCACCACCACAGATCCCAGTATCCCTCCCACCTCCCATCCCCCCATCTACCCCTGCCTCTGTGGCAGGGCATTCCCTTTTGTTCTCTGTCTCCTTTTGGGTGCTGCGGTTTGCAAAAGATAGCCTTTATTATTTCTAACAAAAAACTAAAAACAAAAATCAAAAAACAAAACACTGTACATTTTAATGTTAAATGGTACTCTTTCTTGTATGCATTGAAATAAAATCTCTTTTATGGATCTACAAGCTGGAAAGAAAAATTAGACAATCATTCCACCCTGATCGGAGCAACCTCATAGAAGCTCTAGAATGGAATGAATTCTCTATAAGCTGATTAGTGCAGTATATCACCTCTGCCACTGTCACTGTCACTGTCCACCCGTTGTTCATCGATTTGCTAGAGTGGGCCCAGTAACATCTCCATTGTGAGACTTGTTACTGTTTGGCATATTGAATACATCACAGGTAGCCTGCCAGGCTTTGCCGTGCGGGTGAAATGCTCACAGTAGCTTGCCAGGCTAGTCTACTAAAATGTTTACCCTATACTACTGAAACTTATAAAGACACATTAAGCATTTTGGTAACCTATTGCCATAAAATTCTGTTAAATATTTAACAACCAGGTATATGATAAGCAGCCATTTCTCATGAACTTCTTTAGCACCTGAAATTAATTTTTCTCTAGCAGTAGAACTTTTAGAAAATTAACTTTTAGAAAATTTAGAACTCAAAGAAAATTAACTTTGAGTCAGGCCTTTAAGCAGGAATGCTGTTAAAATGTCATTTGTTTTTTCATGTAACTTATACAGATTAATCTATCCCCATTTTTTTCTTAGCAATGTTTTCCAAAATGACCCAGAGCACAAAACAAATAAATAGTATTTCTTTAAAATTCTTAGGATCTACTGTGTTTTGTCCAGCTATCTATGTTCTCTAGCCCCTACAGAAAGCCCAGTTTCTTGCTTTAAAATGCAAATTAACCTCAATTTCTCTTATGTTTCAATTCCCTTTATTGTTAATACTTACATATAATCACTTGTATTTATTCCCTTCTTTACAATTTGATATATTCTCAAAAACATACACTTACATAAGCATCTTCACTACTGTGTGTCTGTGGAATACTTTCCTTGATCTTCATTTTAAATTTATTTCTAGAATGTCTTATTAAAGACAGCTGTTTGACAAATGAAAAATACTTCACAGAAAGCATTATAATCTTAATCCTTATCCATCAAATTTTGAGTAACAAACTGTTCAAATGCAAATCAATAAGTTAAACTCATTTTTAAAATCACATGAGGCCTTAATCTAGTGGCTTAAAGCAATCATATGAAAAATATATTACTTATACTACAGAATAAACACTGCCATCCCCAAGGAAACAACTGTACCTTCTCATTTTTAACAAGCTGCTTTCGGATAGCAGAATCCCGCCTGAAGCATAAAGCTTTACAACATGGTCCAAGATTACTAAGAAGATTCGCTCTTTCTTCCTTCCGTAGCAGTGCAGCCATGTTGAGTGCTCCCAATTCATGTTCAAAAAGGTTATCTGCATCTTTGAATAAAAATAAACATGCAATAAGTTTTCTTCAAATGGAAAAGTGTTAATAATCCAATCGTTTTGCCTAACAACCACAGGAAGACAATGGTGTCATAATCCCCAGTTTACAAATTTGGTACTAAGTAAGTGTTGCATCTATTTGAATCAAACTATCAGGCTTTTATTATTGTGCTACAGACTCAAACTAGATGGCTGTACTTGGATAGAAGTCCTCATTTTCTTTATAAAATGAGAAATGGAAAAATACTTAGTTTACTTTCCAAAGTTTTTTCACTGGATAAAAACCTGCGCATTCTGATGTTTACACTTAAGTACTTATTAAAAAGCAACCTGATTTAGAAAGATCAAGGTATTAATTTGGAACTTTTTTGTATGCTTCAATTTTTCTTATAATTTTTAAATAGGACTCTGGACAATGAGATTTAAATAATGAATTCAAGTGACTGACTCTTCAAAAAAAAAAAAATTCTTACACCGTGTCACGTAAGAACAAAAATTTACAAGACATCTTAATAATAGCAAGCACTATACAGTCAAGGTAAAGGTAAAAGGTAAAGGCCCTCCCGTTGATCATCGATTTGCTCGAGCGGGCCCAGTAACGTCTCTATTGGAGACTTTGTTGTTACTGTGTCTGGCATATCGAATACTCTCGGTAGCTTGCCAGGCTCTCCGAGAGGGGTGGAGGAATCGAACTCCGGTCGGCCATGTTGGCCGCGTGTAAGGCGAACGCCCTACCCGCTGTGCTATTGCTCCAGACACAGTAACAACAAAGTCTCCAATGGAGACGTTACTGGGCCCGCTCAGCAAAATACAGTCAAAGTGAAAAGAAATTACCTTTCGGTTTTTCTAGAAGTCTCTTACATGTTTCTTTGACTTTGGTAAATACTTCAGAACCCGCCAACTTTTTAGAAAGTCCAACTCGCAGCATAACAGCTCCAGGGGTGAATTTTAAGAGCGCAGCCCCAGGCTCTCGTGGTTCTTTTGGATGCTTTGGCATAAGACCAGACCAATCCACATCTATCACATCTAATGGATCTATAAAAAGGTAAAGAATACAATTTTTTTTTTTTTTAGTATTGTGGTTCTTTATTGAGAAATATAAACTCTAAAACACTGAAAGCATCACAATGTTATGATCAAATTATTATTATTATTATTATTTTTTGCTTTTTGGGTCACACCTGGCAACACTCAAGGGTTAATACTGGTTCTGCACTCAGGACTTACTCCTTGCAGTACTCAGGGGACCATATAGGATGCTGAGGATCGAAACTGGTAGGGGTGTCCAAGGCAAATACCCCACCCTGTGTACTATTGCTCTGGCCCCTCGATCAAAATATTTAACAAAAAGCCTCTCTATAAACAATAATACTTAGAATCTAAGAAACGTTACAAACAAAAGCATTTGCACCCAAACAGGCAAGCAAATCCATTTCTACCAATAACTCATTTAACCTGTATGAGAGATTCCCAATGAAGTAACTATTATTCCACTAAAATTTAGTCTGATATTTTAAAACTTGGCACCAAACTACTTTGAAGGGCTAAAGGATTAGTTTGTATGCATGTTTTCCTTCTGAAAAAACAATTCATTATGATTTTAGAATTAGATAGCTATTATTATTATATTATTATTATAACAAATGATCTGTCCACCAACAAATAATATTTGAAGAACCTACCAAAAATAATGTTCTATTTTTTAAAAAGCCTAATAACAGATGAATGTAATTATCCAACTTCTACATTAGTAAAAAAAAAAAAAACAGTAAAGCATAGGAGCAAATTTTTAAAAATATTTTATTGTATGTATATACACAAAAGGCAAAGACCCTCATAATAGAGAACATTAGTAGTATTTGAATTGGGCTGTCTCCAGAAAAATATTAAAGGGTACTGCTTCATGGTGTAATCATTTAAGTAATCTCTGGTAGTGCATAAAGTACTATAAAAAAGCATTCACTTTAGAAAATTGTTAAAAAGAGTTGATCAAATTTAGTTAGTAAGCATCTAAGTACAATTTAAACTATTATAAACTTTTTTTAACATGTAAAAAATTTAAAAGCTGAATGCTAAGCAGTAGTGTGAATTTAAAAAAAACATATTTAGTAATGAGTAAGCATTCAAGATTCTGAAAAGCAAGCAAAATGAGGGTCCTTGTCTCTTGAGCATATACCACAAACAAGTAAACATAAAACCATAATTTACATTTACAAAAATATCTGCCATGCAATAGAATGGGATGTTAATAATGAAGATGCTAGGTAATGTTTACCACATACATCTCATACATGAAAATGCCACATTTTATACTCTGAAATGCCATGTGCAGAGAACCAAGCTGATAAATTTAGGCTCACTGCTGAGGTTAAGAAATATGTGACAAGAATTTAGTTAAGATACAAAACATATTACTTTAAAACTCTCTATATAGCAATTCTTATAACACAGTAATGCTTTCCACTATAACAATATGAGAAGTTGAGTTCTTTGTTGACAATATAAAATTTTTGACCAGTATGAAAGTTCTGGTAAAACAATTGTCCATTCTACTTAGTCGTCTATCATGTCATCTCATTCTATGGCGCAAACAACTCAACAATAGTCTAATCTAACACTGAGTCATCTACATCATTTCCAAAGTAATTCATTGAGTGAACACAGCATCATTTATTTTACCATCTGGGATGCTTTCATCCATTTCTGTTTTTTAAATCACTAAAGTAGAAGCAAATGTGTATTAAATACCAAGATAGATGAGACAATATAATTGTAAAATTAGTGTGTAGTGAGCAAAAGATAGAGCTGATGGAAACTGTTAAAAGTAACATTTAAAATAATAGCCTTGCATCACCAATGACCACTTAGTGTCTCTGCATGATTCTACTAAGCAGTGAGGTGCAGTATAATATATTTTTGAAAATTGTCTGTAGTGAGTGGTTAGGATACTAAACTATTATAAACCTTTCAATGGTCATTTTGAAAGTTGGTTTTTTGGGAATCCTATAGCACATACTTTCCATCTAGGCAACTAGTGCTTGATTAGATTCCAAGTCAAGATAAGATGAATCTTAAAACTCTGGAAAGGAAATGCTAGAATTCTGCTATTTTATAACTGGATGAGCCTTCACCAATTCATAAACAACATCCACTTAAATAAACACACACATATAAAGTATAATTTTCATTTTAATGACCCCATTTTAAGCCTCAATCCGAAAATAAAGGCAAAAAAAGGTCAATTTTTACAGCTTGAAGGGAAAGAATACCTTACAACAACAGGTAATTTTTTTGTTCAACCACTTTTGCAAATTATTACCTGGCATCTTCTCCTCATCCTGTTGATCCTCCCTCTTTTCAGCATCACCTGCCAGAATTTCATCTAGCTCATCGTCACTAATTGGCTCGTATCCTTCCCCAGCTCCAGAACCTAAAGAATGCGCATCATCTAACTTGGATTCATCATCTCCTGATAAAAAGCACATTAAAAAGAGGATTAAGGGGAAGGATCAACCAAGACAAAGGAAACATAACTAAAAAACCTGAAAAGCATTTTTATTAGAAGACTGTAATGTATTATTTTAAACGCCTGATACTATCTTAAAAACTTGAATGTTCCAATTAGCTAAGTTAGGTTTTAATAGTAAAAACACAAAATGCACATCAAAAGAACGTTATAATTAAAATAAAAGCTGCCACTATCATATTAATGTGCTATTAAAAGATTATATTCAGACAAATCTAATTCAAAAGAATGTAGTAATTTTTTAAATCTGAATTAACTAAGTTTAAAACTACCTGCTCACTTATTCATAAAATTTATTTGAAAACAAAGTGTAGTTCATAGATTTATTTTTTCCAGAGAATATTTGATGATTTATTCAGTTTTCTCATGATTTTATACATAGATGTACCCAGGTATATTTTTAATTCACACAAGTTTGCTAGACTATTTTAAGTAAATTCAGTCAAGAGAGTTAAAGTTATTATTATTTTTTAAATGTAGGAGTACTGCTATTTATTCAGCCATTGATTAAGTTGATTGAACTGGGCATGTAGTTCATAGATTTAGTGCATGTTATGAACACCTTAGAACTGTGAGGTAAAAATGTAAAAAAAAAAAAAAGACAAAAACAATAATCCTTACGTTCCACACCTCAAATTCATCGCCATCCCAGTATTTTCCTTTAATTAGTACAAGTTCTAAAAATGCTGTAATATAATTTTAATGTATCTTTGTTAATACTGTCAGGACGTATTTTGCTTGTTTTACTCAATTTTCTCAACCATCTAAACCAACTGTTGTCTCCTGATGTGAACTGAAATTATTCTAAAACTGTATGATGTTTAGTATTTCAGCAACTATGCATTCAAATGAGTGTGTGGAACACTAGATTTCAAAATGTGTTAGTGTCCTTTAGGGGCGCAAGTTTGTAGCACATAAACTGTACTACATCATGAGATGTTCCTAGTCATTCAATACTTTTTATTCTATTAAATTTTAACATTTTCCCATGTCCACATTAATCTATTTCCAAGGAAACAAATTTCAGTAATTTTAAAATATAAATACATATCCAGATGCTAGTGCAGCCATTAAGACTTTTAATTCTTCTAGTTTATCCAACTCATTTTCCTATTTTAGCTAAATGAATTAAAAAAAATTTAGGGGGGGTATGCCACACCTAATGGTGCCCAGAGCTTACTTCCTGCTTTGTACTCAGAGATCACTCCTAGAAGGACTAAGGGACCATATGAGGTGCTAGGGATCAAACTTGGGGAGGGAGGCATGCAAGGCAGTGCTGTACTACTGCTTAGCCCTAAATAAAAATTTCCATCACCTAACAGGTAATTCACTATACATTTTTATACTGCTGTCTTAACTGGTAAATAATACATTTAGGGATCAGTTTGAAACACTAACAAAGAGTTATTATAATGATTAATTCAGTTATATCAAAGGTTGAACCTTCATAAATACTACAGCTCATGATTTGAAGCTATTTATACTCAAAATAAAGAGAAATATCTTTGTCAAGTTGGAAAAAAAAAAGTAACAGATGGCATATTGGAATACTCCTAATCTGAAAACCCTCTCAAAATGTAAGGATGTTTTTAACGGTTTTGAAAATGATTTTACTTTTGGCTCAATCCTCTATGTAACATGGCAAATAAAGAGGCTAGTGAAGGGGTCAGGAGATAGTATAGAAGTTAAGAAGCGCACCTAGCAGGCACCAACCCAGGCCAATTCCTGAAACCACATGGCCCCCTGAGCACTGCTGGGTGCAGCCTGGGGATCCCTGGCCCACAGGACCCGAGCAGCATCACATTCTTGGGTCCTTACACTGAATCTTTCAACCAGTTTGCAGAGAATTGCTGCTGGTCCCCTGGGTCCTCCTGAATGCTGCCTGATAGCCACCCCCCCCCCCGACTCCGCCCCTGAACCCTCTCCTATTCCAAAAAAAGTATGTGTGTGTGTGTTGTGTGTTGTGTGTGTGTGTATGTGTATAATATGTACCTATGCGTGTAAGCTTACATATTGAATAATCCAAAAGTTCCTGCGGTGTTAAAATGAGTATGTTCTGTCTGAATAATGATGTTAAGCACTGGTGGTATCAATACTAGACAGTCCGAAGGGGCAATATTTCCAGAAAAACTCTCAGGGCATTCTCTTTTATCATTATTAACCTCGGCTGCCATTCATCAAAGAATAGGATGCAGACAAGGATGAGCCAGCAGAATATGTTTTCATTCATCAGCCATTCTCTATATCCTTGCTAGTCTTGATGAAACAATGAAAAGCTACAGGCCTTACAAAGAAATACAGTACGGGGTGGGGGTGGGGGGTGGGAATAATACTGTGACACTCACCTTCCATATTCTCAGCTCTGTCAGTTTTACTTGTATCTTCAAATCCCTGCACAGATCCTGTATCTTTATCCATTCTGTCTTTTTCCAAAGCTACAGAGTCCCTTGAAGTGCCGTCTAGGTCTCTTTCATGTTCACTTTCCAATTTTGCTTCACTGCGTTTTACAGACTCTACTTGCGAATTCTCAAAAGTTCTGTCTCTATCCCGGTCCCTTTCCACAGAATCAGGAATTAGTCTCTCTCTTTCCCTTTCCAAATCTCTCCTTTTGTCTCGTTCTCTCTCCCGTTCTCGCAATCTATCTCGGTCCCTGTTCCGGGGCCAGTCTTTATCAGCATCCCGATCCCATTCTCTCTGCCTTGTATCTCTCCTCTCTCTCTCCCGTTCTCTATCATGCTCATAGCGATCACGTTCTTGAAGCCTATCTCTGCTATCAAATGACCCAGATCTTGAATGGACTTGTCGATCTGACTCAGGAGAACTTCTTCTTGAACTATGGCTTCTTGAATCCTGGCGATCTAAAATAAATACATGATAAACCAAGAGTTAACGTGTGATAAAATAGAAATAAAATCCTACATTTTAAGGTACTTTAAAACATCCACCTTCTCTTTTTTTCATTGTTTCCTAACTATCCAAAGAGCTAAGAGCTAACTCTAAAGAAAAACTGATCTCAATTAAAATGGTAAATGGATTATGTAAAAAGAACATGTGTTTTTGTTTATTTCCACTAGAACCACAAAATACTGTCAATGAAATAAATACATAAAACGGTTAAGAATTAACAGAACTGATGACATCATTATCCGATCTCTTCCTATCCCCCTACCTTTACTTCTGTGATCAAAAGAGAAAGCACTGGCTGCAGGAAGAAGAGAAGGAAGGTTAAAATTTTAGATACCAATAAGGGACCTACATACATAAATCCTTCCACCAAGAAAATCCTGACTTTATACTGATGATGTCATTCAATGTACCTCTATTAAAGTTTGTGGTATTAATGTGGTAAGAGGTATTATTTTGGTGAGACAGTTAAAATTTAAGTTTCTTGAAATTTAAGGTAATGTATTAAGTAACCAATTTAGCTTTTACTTTAAAATTATAAAGTCCACAAAATAAACTAACTTAGAAAGCACTGACTAGATTATAATTCAATTTAATTACCTGAAGAAGTACTTCGACTGGGTTCTCCACGCTTTAACTGATCAATCCTAGATTTTCTCTCTCCTGTGATCTCTAGGCTTTTTGTTTTTTCTCTATCTCTCGAGCCACTATGCAGCACCCTCTTTCGACCACTTTGGTCATCTCCACTTCGATGGGCAGAATCATTGGACGGGGAGCGCAGACGACTGGATGTATGACTACGATTGCTCCGATTACTCCCAAGGCTGCTACTCCTCTTTTGATCTATTGGCTTGCGATGAGGTGCATCTTCTATGGTAACATGAGATGCTTCTACTTTTTCCACTCGTGTCCTATGGCACTTTCTATGTGAGTCTTCACTGGCAAAAGTAGCACTGGGGGCACTGGAAGGGGTGGAAGAGGTGGATACGGTGGTAGCAGATGTGCTAAAGGTTGTGGTAGCAGCAGTGGCAGGAGTGGAAGAAGCATTTGTAGTAGTAGCATTAGCCACAGGTGGGGGAGGAGGAGGGAGCGACGATGGAGAAGGAGTCCTTCCAGGAGTCACAGATGTGACCGCATGCTCTGCATCTGTGGCCTCTGCACGGTCAGGCACGTCCTCATCAGACCAGTCACTAAATGCTGTGTCTTCTTTTTTCTGAGATTCCTCCACAGTGCCATCCTTATCATTGGACATTTCAACCAATTCCTCTTTGGTTGTGATAGGGGGAGTCCGTGGTCCTCTTTTCTTCTTACTTTGCTGAGCTGCTTCTTCATCAGAAATATCAGAATCGCCTTTGGACCTTTTACGTTTTTTTTCAACACTTTTCTTCTTTTGCCCTTTTTTGGGTGAAAATATTTGCCCGTCTTCAGATGTCTCTATATTACTCCTCTCGATACCAACATCGTCATCTTTCTTTTTCTTAATAGGTTTCTTTTGAATTTTTGCTTTTTTCTTGTTTTCATCGTGACCTCGCTCAGCTGTATCGCGATCTTCAGATGGGTGGTGTCCAGCCGTATCTTGTGTACGCGTTCTTGAGATTTCTGTGATTTCCATCTGCTCTCTCTGCTTCTCGATGGAGGAAACTTTCTCTTTGAGTTCGTGCTCTTCGTAGCGTCTTGAGCTCTCTTTTCTTTCTTGTTTACGATCTTCTTCTTTCCATCTGCCCTGCCTGTCTTCCGTAAGGTGTGACGGACTGAGGGAACGAGATTCTTGAGGTCGTACAACCTGGCTCAAGAGTCTATGTTTTTCATCTATATCAAAAGTTAAAAGTAATCACACTTTCACCAGGTGAAACAAATAGTGCACGATACATATAAATAATAATAAACCAATCTCTTATATTTCATTTTAAAACTTAAAAAAAGTAATTTTAGTAATCATTATAGCTTTACTTCAAATAGTAGGAAATGACAGTGCCCTAATATAAAATGACTATTTCTAACACACGTTAATCACACAAAAGAAGACATTCAGGGGAAGCATAGTCGCAATAAAATTTAGTTCATCATTTCCTAATTCAAAGAATGGTCTCAAGGTTTCAAAAGAACAAGAACGAAAAAGACACAGAAAATAGCTTACTTTTATCATCGCCACTGTTGTACGTGTCACTGTCAGGAGAGTGTTCCCGTCGACGCTTAGGTGACTGCCGAGGGCTAGGACTCCCTTCATTTCTATAGCGCTTCCTAAACAGGACAAATGCAACGTATGAAATTTCGGGAAATTAAAAAACACTGTATTAAAGAAACCTATGCTAAAACCCATTTTACATTTTTATGAAACTCCGTATGTTATAAACATAATGATAAAGCTGAATGAAAAATAGTCAAGTGAGAAATGAGAAAATCCAGTATTGGTTCTAGAGTCTAAAAGATAGAGTAGAACTTATACTTGTAACTTTAAGTAAATTCCTTGAAATGACTGAAACACAGCTTTCTCATCTAAAAATCTGAGTGGGAGCAGGGAGGATAATTTGTCTCGTCAAACTAGAGAAGGACTACATTCAGCTGTAAGCCCAATGCCAGGATATTGTGGATATTTTATAAAAATGAGTAATTTCTGGGCTAGGGAGATAGTTCAAAGGGCTGAGGACATGCTTTGTATGTGGGAGGCCTTGGATTGATCACTGGTACTACATTTTCTACTGAGCATCACTGGGAAATACTACCCCCCTCCAGTTAAAAAAAAAAAAAAGCTCTTTCTTACAGTTACAACACATGCTTCCTATGTTGATTTTAATGCCTGCTCTTTAGTGGTCTTGAAATGAGTGGTGATTTATATCTGTGGGCAATTAATGCATTCTAGCATTAAAAAATATTTTTGTTAAACTACCATTTCATTTGTATTTTTCACTAGACAATATTAGTGAAAAAATACATATATATATTTTTTGTTACTAACACTGTTTACTAACATATGCCCAAAAGTTGAGAAGCATATCCTAAGTATATATACCCTCCCCCTTGAAAGATTAATTATATAAATGAGCAAACACATGGAGAAAAATACCCCTTTGACAATTCATAGGCTTGAACAATTTATCAACTAATGTTTCTTCCATCATTAGGTAGTATATTTCCCTGTTCCATCATTTGGGCTGGCCCTGAGACTTGATTTGGTAAGAGAATGTAGTAAAAGTGATACTGCAAGTCTGTCATGTCAGGACTCAAGACCTGCAGCTTTGCCTTCATATTATGCTTCTACCATTATATGTCAAAGTCTTTTTTTTTAGACTGATGAGGGTGATGTTTCATGCAGAGGAAAAATAAAATGCTCTAAATAAAAGCACTTGTCAACAGTCAGAAAGTGAGTCCATTTTGTGTTAAATAGATCTAGAACCATTATATTGACTCCACTGAAATTATACAAAATTGCTAATGTTACTCAGTCATGAATTAATAAACAGCTGCTGTTTTAACATGCTAACACTGACACTGCAATTTGTGTTAATTAAACCACGCTGAAGTATGAGACACCAGTGAGCATCAAAGTGTTAAAGAAATGATATGGGGGATAATTTGATATGCAAGCTGTCACTGATATACTCAAGTGAAAATTGAGAAAATAAAAAACAGAACTGTAATCTTAATGAAGTATCTATAGAAACAAAATTAGAATAAAAAGAAAACTGACAGTTCAGCAAATATATATAAAAGCAGTTTTGAAGGTGCTCAAAAAGCAGTTAAATTAAATTCACTACTGAAATGACAATATAAAACATCATGGATTTTATCTACTATAACTGGTTACTATGAGTTATCTGATTTAAGTTTCTGGAGTTCTTGGCAATATTTGGATTGTCTAGCCACCAAGTAATTTTTTTCCCTGTTATTAACAGAGAGAAGCATGGGAAAATGGTACTAAAAAAACAGAACCAGAAAATAACAAGTATGTCAGCATTTTAATTTTAGAAGATAGCACTAAAGTGGTCGAAGCAGCTGATCTATGCAAATATAATTTAAGGTTCAAATACTTTGTATCTGAAAATATTATGGCATAGTTTAAATGCAAAATTTGTCTTATTTCCTGTAACCTATCTTACTTCCTGTCATTACTGAAATACTACCTTAAGTTTTCTGTTGTTCTGATCGTCTCAAACTCATGATTTTTGAGGGCCAGGAAGGTACCAAGTTTTCCAATTAAAATTTTTTGTCACTGCGATGCTCAAACTGTGACCCTCAGGCCAGAAACTGTGTAACATGACATGCTCCTCCCTATCCCCCCAACATATACATTTGCTCTTCTAGTTAATATATTGCTAAAATCTGCCTGCATGTCTGTATATTTCAATGACTTCAGAGAATTGTAGCTTGTTTTATTGTTTTATTTTGTACAGCTGATAGTTGTTCTGCAAGAATGATAATGCAAGATATTACTTATTTTGCCAGAAAAGTGACTCTCAAAAACACAAATCCCTTATAGTAAAGACTATAAGAGTCTTATTTCTATCAACCTCTCATATATTGTTCTATTTTCCCCTTTGCTCATGATCACCAACCACTCTGGCTGTCTGTCAACACTAAACTAGTTCTTTCATGAACATTTTCTTGATTTTGTTCCCAGCCTGATACATTTTAGTCTAACTCTTCACTAACATGGTTGTTCATTTTCACTGGATTGTCAGAAAAATAAATCTTTAAAAAGGTTAGTCTCTTGGGCTGGAGCGATAGCACAGCGGGTAGGGCATGTGCCTTGCACGCGGCCGACCTGGGTTCGATTCCCAGCATTCCATACGGTTCCCTGAGCACCGCCAGGAGTAATTCCTGAGTTCAAAGCCAGGAGTAATCCCTGCGCAGCACCAGGTGTGACCCAAAAAGTGAGAAAAAAAAAAAAAGAGTCTCTAAGAAATAAAACAGGTATGTAATACCCCAAAGCATACAAAGCTATGGAAAGAAGGAAAGACAATGAGGAAAAATATCAGGTGATGGAAAAAATATGTATTGTGCACCTGTGAAATTTAGCGTCTACATTTTATATTAAAGACTTTTGTTTTTTTTTTTTAAATGAGGGAAGGGGGAAGCCAGACCTAATGCAAGAAAACTACTTCTGAATTCTGTTTCTGCCTTGAACCATAATCCAAAACAGCAATGATTCATGAAAGTCTGAAGCAAGAAGTCTCTATGTACCTTGAGATAATAAAATGAATATAGGGGCATATAATTTAAAGATAAATTATTTTCAGTCAATTTTAAACTTAAACACTTTATTACATGTTTTTTATTCTTTCAAAAGTTGTTAATGCCTATTACGTTTTGAGGCCATAAAAATCTCAAACTCAACTAATTAGAATTTAGAACGCTCATGGCCACAGTGACTAACTTAGCATCTAGTGAGAACCTCTGTCAGAGAGAGGGGCGCATACAAAACTGTGAGGTATTGCCTGAGCTAGTCTTAGTCATCCGTCAAAGACATTTCATGAGGAAAACCTTTCTGAGACTGGAACTAACATAAAAGAAAACACTGCAGAAGGAGAGATTCTATTCCTGATGCCTTGAGAATCTGGATAAGGCCACAGTAGAACAAGTGGAAACTAGCCCCGGGCTTCTCAAATACCTGAGCAAATACATTCTTTTTGTGAAAAGGCTATGAAAAGCAGAAAACACCCCGAGGCTTGTTTTGTAAGATCATCACTTCTTTTTACCTCAGTAACCACTAAACTCCACACCCTGAGAGTAGACACCATCTTATCTCTCCATATTCTAGCCATGCACTGGGTTACAGGACTCCCTGACTTCTAAGAGATTGTGAACGCTTCTGTAGCCTCTAGGGAGTACCTCAGACATAGGACATAAACATAAGCCAGGAAGTATTGTCAGGAACAGCTCAGGCCATGTATCTTGGTGACATGTAAACCCCATTAACTAGCTATAAAGTGAATGTGCTGGAATACTAAACTTCACTGATTCTATCACTTTTTTGGTCTCTGGATCATATCCAGCTGTGATCGGGACTTATACCTGGCTCTACTCAGAGGCCTGGGATGGTTAGGTGGTACCAGGGATCGAACCCAGGTGGATTATGTGCAAGGCAAAAGCAGCTTGTCCATTTGGGGGACTTTTGTTTTTAAAACCAAAAATCAAACTTAGAAAAACTGATGCACAAATCATTCTTACTTTGATTTTCTTTCATCATGTCCATCTCTTGGAATCCTGTCTTCCCGGATATCTTCTCGCTTCTCTCTGCGGTCATCCCGTCCTTTCTCTTTCTCTTCCCAATCCCTCTGACGCTCTTGTTCTTTCTCCCTTTCTCTTGCTCTTTCTCGTTCCCTCTCCCTCTCTCTCTCCCTTTCTCTCTCCCTCTCCCTCTCCCTTTCTTCTCTTTCTCGCTCCCGTTCTTTTTCCCTCTCTCGCTCCCTCTCTCGCTCCCTCTCTCGGTCATGGTCTCGTTCTCTCTCTCTTTCACGGTCTCTCTCTTTCTCTCTCTCTCTCTCCCGTTCCCTAGCACGCTCTCTTTCGAGTTCTCTCTCTTTCTCTCTTTCCCTTTCCCGCTCCCTCTCTCGCTCCCGTTCTCTATCTCGTTCCCGTTCCCGATCTCTTTCTCTAGCCCTCTCGTCTCTTCTATCATCCATTCTGTCTACTCTTCGTTCCTCTCTTCTTTCATCACGCTCAAGCTCGTCATTCCTTCCCTGATGTCGAATTGGTGAGCTTGGTCTTTGATCTACAATAAAAATCAAGTTTTGTCAGTGATTAATTTGACAGATACTCTATTGGTAAGACAGCAGGCAAATCTTAAATTTTAAGCTCTGTAATGGGTCAGTCACACTGGCAGCAAATATAAATCACATACTGTATTTTTAAATTTAATCATTCAAATAATCACCCCTAGATGTTTAAAAGTAATTTTTACTTCAAAGTAATTTTTATTTGCCCTCTAACTCTCATGTTTTCTGCTTCCCATCAACCCCCTCCCACCGCCCACTGATCCACCTTTGATCTTGCTCTGCATGCTCCCTGCCCTACCTCCAGCCCACTGTTCCAACCCCACTTTCTGCCATCTCTACCCTTCACCTCTGATCTTCTCTGTCCCCCCAGCAGGACCTGAGAACACTGGTGGCAAAGGATAGGGGCAGCAGGAGGTGTAGAACATAGGAGCTGAAGGAAAAAAAAAATTTCCCTCGTAAGTCACACCTCTAATTTCAGGCCGAAATATATACACATCAACGTGTAGCTATTATGTGAAAAAAATAGTAGAACAAAACATTTGTCAATATTTGTTGCTGCAACATCAATTTATCATACACCAGAATATTAAGCAGGGTACTGATTCTTAGCAATAATGAAATAATCAAATGCAACGTTTAATACTAGTGATATATTTATAATAATAAAATCAATCACAAAACTACTCAGATGAAAAGTTGTTTTCTTAAACTGCAAACAGTCCATCCCATCACATTGTATATATATACACATGTGTATACATACAGATATATGTATACATATTTCCCCCCTATATACACATCATATAAACAATGAGAAAATAAACGCATGCTACCGATAATGCACAGTTGAGTAGGAAATCAGTCTGAGACAAAATACATACGTATATTTTAAAATATGGCATAACCTTTTCCAGAAAGATAGAACCACTGTGGTAGGATCAAAGCTAGCTACCATGATGCTTCTATTTTTGTAATATATAATGTCTACTGGTTAGTCATAAAAATTATTCTATGCTATATTAAAAAAATTGGTAAGTGAAATACCTAACATCAATTTATTAAGAAGAATACCTTAGACATATTTTTAAGAAAACGATCAGTAAATAATTTGACTTTCTTTCCTCTTACAGATGAAAAAGAGAAATAATTTTCATATCAGAGAAAAGATACTGAAACATCTTAGAATTTTAAAACTAAAGTTTAAAAAAGAAAAAAGATGTGTCTAGAACTTTTCTCCTCTTCTTACAGAGAAATCAGAGCTGGGGTAATGATTCAATGGGCTGAGCATATACTCTGCATGCTGGAGGCCCGAGTTTGAATCCCAGCACTACATGGTCCCCTGAGCACTCTTGGAGCAAGCCCCAGGCCCAGAACTAGGAGCTGTCCCCAGCATTGCTGAGTATATTCCCAAACCAAACCAACCAAACACAAAATCAACAGCAAATAATAGTCACAGAACTTAGTTTAGATACTGACATTTCAAAATCACGAAGATTCATTAGAACTCATTAAGACGCAGGATCAGTATATCTCAAACCCTCTAATTCTCGCTAAAACCAACTTGAATTTAAAAGGATTCATTTTGGATTCCCAGAATTACCTGTATCTCATGTTTTAAGGTACCCAAATTGATGGCTAGGATCGGGAGTAGGGGTCCTATTAATGTTACAGTGACTATAAAACAACCTAAAATAAATTCAATACTGCAACTTATCGAGATTCAAACATGAATCTTCTGACTGCAGCAGTATCAGGAAGACTCCTTTACTGATTCGTTTGGCAGATAAAACCTAATCTTCCCAATCCAAGTGACACAGATTCTTACTTCAATGAAAATTGAAAGATGTAAAAATATCACTGTAACAGTTCTAAACTAGCCTTTCTATCTTTCTCCATAAACGTGTTTTTCAAAGATGTGTTTCTCCTTCCATCCCCAGCACCCCAAATGGTCCTCCAGGCCCACCAGGACTGACTCCTGAATACAAGGAGTCACCCCCGAGTAGAGCCAGGTGTGGCCACCCCTCAATAAATAAGTAAATAAATAAATAAATAGATAGATAGGCTTTTCTTCTTAGATTTACTATTTTAATGAGACACATTCACAAGTTGGATATTTGAGCTAGTTAAGTATCAGAAACTTCATCTCCAAACATTTTATAACATTTCCTCTCTGTATCCCTAGAAGTAATATTACTAACTCAAATTCTAATCAGTTCTTAGATGTCAATATTATTAATAGTTAACTGATTGCTATCCTTGTCTTCAGTCTTATCCCCACATTCCTTTATAAATTTTTATGAAAACAATTTTATCTAGCTGCCTAAAAGTAGTTAACTTTAGGTAGTAAAAAGGAAATCAAACCCAAACTTCTCGGTCTGATTTGTTAGAACATTTACAATATAGATGTCTCACTTTTTCCTAAATCCCTTTCCTCCCTACTAAGTTACAGCATCCTATAACTCAAACCTTGTAATTTTTTATGACTTCAACGCATATTTGTTTATCTCCACACAGGGTAAAAATGTATCTTCCATCATGCATTCTCAGCAACATTTATATTTCAATTGTAATATGTACCCTGATTTGCTTGTGAAAAATCAAAAGAAAAAGACAAATTCTGAAGCAGAGAATGACGTGCCTGGCTATATCTCTAACCTAACCTCAACCTCTATTAATTTCCTATTTCTCACCATATTCTAATCACATTGGTCTTCTTTACACATCAAGACATTGTTAAGACTAGTATAATAAGCAACAGAATCTTTCCTTATATGGAACACTTTTATGTTCAATTTTTTGCAAGACTAGTTTCTCCTGTTATTCTTTCTTCCATAAATATCAACTCAATTTTATATAAACACTACCTGAAAGTAACTATCCTCTCATATCCTTTATTTCTACATAGGTTCCTTTGTTTACTTCCTTGCTAACATTTAATCACTGCTTCTCTTGGAGGTAATCTCAACTCTTCCCGTTAAGTTTTATAAGCATAAGATGTACTATAATTTAAGAAACAACAGAGCAAATAACTATTCATGGTTATCTATTGATATCTAGAAGATATTAACCTCAAAAATGTTTTTCTATTGCAGCATTAAACTTACTAAAATAGTTACAGGAAAGAAAAATAAAGAGCAGAGCTTTTAGTCACAAGAACTGAACTGAATGTGAATCTCAGCTCTGACACTTACTTCTCTGTAATATTGGAAAAATCTCTACCCAACTCTTCACTTAAGACTTCTGAACAGTTAAACATGGATTCTCTAGTACCTGATTCACAGGGACATTATAAAGAGAAAAGAATTTAAAGGAATTTTTAAATACACATAACCTGAATTAACAGCATATTAAGGATACTAAATTTAGGAAACATGCATCAAGCAATGGTGAAGGTTCTTGGTACTTCAATGCATGTAACTAAGTTATGTAAGACTGAAAGCAGATGTTACTATTAAATTCAGGCAAGAAATCCTAAGCTAGGATAAGAAACAAGAAAAAAATAATTGAAAAATAAGATACAGGGGCCAGAGAGCTAGTACAGTGGGTAAAGTCCTGTAACACAGCAGACCTGGGTTCAATCCCCAGCTCTCCATATTGTTACCCCACAACTCATGCCCAACTGACCTCTGAGCACAGAGTCAGGAGTAAACCCTGAGCATCACCAAATGTGGCCCAAAAGACAAAAAATAATAAGATACAGAAAAAGTTATTACTAAGCATGGTCTTAAAGAAGTAGAAATGGTGAATCAATGTTATGGGGGGGGGGAATCAGATATAAACAGGGGGAAAATCAGATACAAACATAGAACACATAAAATCCAACTCCATATATAATGAAGAAAATGCCAAATATTCTTTAGTCCAAATGCATTAACATTTATTCTAACTTTTTTGTGTTTGCGTGTGGAGAGTGAGGGGTTGTGGGATGGGGTGGTGGGTACTGGGCCACACCTGAAAGAGCTGAGGGATCTTCCTGATTCTGTGCTCAGCAGTGATCCTGGGCAGTATGGAGGGAATCATACATCCATACATGGTGCTGGTGCTTTGAGCCAGGGTTGGCTATCACAGTAGCCACATGCTAGGAAAGTGCCTTTCCTCTTACACTGTATCTCCAGGGTTCTGCCAATACTAACAACCCAATCAAACTGACCTCGTCTGTGTTTCTGATCTCCTCTATGCCACAAAGGGCAGGGTAATATAAAAACTGTTTTCTCATCTCTGTCCTTATTCAGCATAGTGGGCATCTCTTATTCAACCTACTGCCAAGTATCAATGTTCAATTCCCTATTCCACTACTTTGTAGCATACAGTAAAGAAAATCTTATGTCAGTAACCAGCCAAGTAAGTTCATAAGATCTAAAATGTTTAAAGAGGCAAATCACATAGACAATAAAACTTTTGTTAGAGAAAGTACTTACAAACTTTCTTAAGTGCCTTCCAGTAATCATACTTCAAAATTGATCTGAGACAATCTAATAAATAACTGAAAGTTTTTAGCTTTAAGATGTACAAAAATTGCTAAATTATTACTTGTTCTCAGGAAGGAGCATGAATAAAAGTTTCCCTCAGTCTCATTACCATCATGTTTTTCTTATACTTCTCTGACACTCCTTACACAACAGTTTATCACAGTGAATGGTCAGGATACATGCATGGGAGAGTTTAAGTATTTCCTGAATTTGCAATGTTTGAAATGGCATCCCATCACCTACATTCTTTGAAGGGCTGTGAATTATTTGGTTATGGTGAGAGAGATATATAGCAAGGCATTCTCTGTTGCCAAGTAATAGTAATACCTATTTAAATATTATCTCCTAAGCTAAGTAAACAAGATTATGAGCAAATGCATCAAATAGTTACATAGATGTATCTACAAGAAAACATCTTCAGATATTTCACATGAAAAAAGTAAAGTGATTTAAACATTAACAATTCTCCCAAGTAAATATTAGTCACTGTTAGTATTCTATTTGACAAACCTCTTTCTCTGTTGTCTCGACGGTCTCGCTCCCCATGTCTTCTCTCAAAGGAAGAATCCCTTGCTTGGTCTCGGCTGTCTCTTTCAGGGTATCTGTCTCTTTCAGGATAGCTACTTCGAGTTTCCCAGCTGTCATGGTAGTTACTACTACTGTGACTATCAATTTGAGAACTTCTTGTGCCTCGGCTTCCTAAACAAAGGATATTCACACAAATGTTTAAGATATACACTTTTTTGAACAAGGTTCATCAGTCACAGTCTTTCCTCACCAAAGCAAACTGATAAAGGTGCTTCTTTAAAAACTCTAAAGGGTGGCAATCATTGTTGAAAGAAGACTCAAATGGTGGATAAAAGCACCCAACATGTCTAATGATTGACTTTGGTAAGCTAAGTCCCAGTTTCCCTTTTCTATAGAGAGTCCTATCATGGGAGGTCTGAGGATATAAGTCAAAGGGTTGAAGCACATGCTTGGAATTCATGAGGTTCTGTGTTTGATCCCTGGCACACGAATCTCAAGTATCGCTGGTGTGTGCTGGTAGTCCCAAATATCACAGCACTGGAATTCTGGGCCAAACACTGAACCTTCTGACCTGCACTGCCAGGGTAAGTACTGCTGGGGAAGCAAAAATAGGAGGAAAAAACAAAAAGGTGGGGAACTCATAGTAGTTTCAATAGCCCAAACATGGAAAATATCTAAACATATTTCAATATGTGAATGGTTAAACCAACTCTGGCACATCTAGACCAAGGAACACATTTTTTATGTATCAAGTTGGTAGAAGGAGAATATATTTGAATGTGGCTCTAAAAATGTAACACAGAAAATCCTGTGATGACGAAGCTGAGTATCCAGATTGTGGTGATGGTAATGAAAGGCTAGAAAGACATTATGAAAACAGTATGGGAGCACCTCAAAAAATTAAAAGTAAACTACTATGTGATCCAGCAATCCCATTTATGGGTATGTGTGTATACATATATAATATAAATATGGAAAGGAATTGAAATCGCTATCTTGGAAAGATATTTACATTTACAGGTTCATTATAGTCTGATTAGACAAAATGTTCATGACAGATGACTGGATAAAGAAACTGTAGCCCCATCATTAACAGTCTTGTAAATCATGGTTCCTAAAATTTTTGAAATATTAAAAATTTAAAATAAATGTATTACAGACATATGCACAATTGGAATATTATTTAGTCTTAAAAAAGAATATCCTTCTAATAGAGGCCAAAGCAATAATATAGCGGGTAGGACATTTGCCTTGCATGCTGCTGACTCGGGGTTTAATCCCCAGCATCCCACATAGTTCCTCGAGCACCGCCAGGAGTAATGCTGAGCATCACTGATCAAAAAAGGAAAGAAAGAAAGAAAATCCTTTCATTTATGAAAACATGGATAATCAGGACATTTGGATACAGAAGGACAAATACTACATTTGTATACTACTACTACATAGATACCATTTATCTGAGAAATTTGAAATATTCAATCTCACAGAAGCAAAAAGTTTAATGTGGCTGCCAGGTGTTGAAAGGAGAGGGAAATATGGAAATATTTATTAGTGAATATGTGTACATTTGTTAGTAAATATGTGCACAAAGTATGCACAATATTTGTTAGTAAAGTGTACAAAATTTCTATTGTACTGTAAAATGAACAGGTCCTAAATATCTACTGTATAGAATAGCACTTATAGTTAGCAACACCTATAGAAAATTCAAAAATCTGCTAAGAAGGTGATCTTATGTTTCTCAACTTTCTAGGAATCAACAAAGGATTGATTACAAACTTGCTGAGATTAAAAACTTGTTGAGATCTGTTGAGATTCTAAGTCACTATTGGAAGAAATAGAAGACATGAAGATATGGAAAGTTGTTTCATGTTCAAAGATTGGAAGAATTAACAATTTACAGGAAACATCTTGTCCAAAACAATATATAGAACAGAGACTGCCAAACTTGCTTATCACCTCCTTTTTGAAAAAACACCATTCAGCACATCCTAGAAATCTACTTTCTTTAAGTGATCAAACAGTAAGCACTCCCCTAATTGCATCAAAGTTACAAGCAACCCTGTTGGATCACTCCAGTACCACCATGGGAGTTATCACCAACTTTGGGAAATGATACAGACTTAATACAAGTAGTATCCTGATTTCAATGGCATTCTTCAATAAAATGGAATAGGAGTTTGAGAGGTAGTACAGGGATTATGGCACTTGTCTTGCATATGGCCAATCCTGGTTTGATCCCCAGAATTGTACATGGTCTCCCAAGTACTGCCAGGAGTGATCCCTGAGCAGATTAAATCCTCAGCAGAAGCTCTCTCCACAAATCAAGAAAATAGAATAAAATAGAATAAACATAGAATAAACATGAATAAAATAGAATAAACATGAATAAAATGTATAAAGAACCACAAGAGTCGTTGAATAGACAAAACAATCCCGAGAAAAAAGATGGGAACCACTGTGTTCTCGGATTTCATACTACGAAAGTAATCAAAAACATGGTAATACTGAAATGAAAAAAAAGGCATTCAAACAAGGGGGTCAGAATTGAATGTCTAGAAATAAACTCTCACTGTAAAAGACGAAAAAGCTGAGGAGGTAATACAGGAGTTAGTACACATGCCTTGAATCTCAGAGTTCACTTTCTGCTTCTCTTGAGTGCACCCTACTGCCTTTCCCAAGCATCACCAGGTATAACCCTTGAGGTGTCTGAGCATTACCTGGTTGGCCATGGGGACCACTAAGCAATGCAGCAGTAGCTGTGATGGTCCCTGGTACCACAGGGCATAGTAAGCACTGTGTCATGGGCTCGAGCATTACGGACAGTTAATTTACAAAATGGGAGACAAGAGCATAGAGCAGAGAAAAAATAGTCTAATTTCTTCAACACGTTATGTTGGGGAAATTAGACTGCATGAGCAAAATGTGGAAACAAGAGCATTATCTCACGCCAATGCACAAATGTTAATTCAAACTAGTGTAAAAACTTTCACGTTAGACATAAATCTACAGAAAGAAAACATAGGCAAAACTATGACACTGACTTCTGTGACATACAAAGGAATTCAGTGGTAAGTGAAAATTAAATATTTTATAAAAGTGAAAAATGGAAAAAAATCAATGAAACAAAAAGACATTATACTGAGTAGAAGAAATCTCAAATGTATCTAATAAAGGGCTAATACCCACAATAGGCCAAAAAACTAACAACATAAATCATAGGCTACCCCTTTAAAATGAGAAAAACATATACTTCCCCAAGAAATTCAGATGGTGAAGAAGCACATGAAAATAATGCTTAACACTAATTATGGAAATACAAACCACAACAATGAAATATCACCTCACACAGATGAAAATGGCTGTATCAAAAAGGTTAAAAAGAACAAGTTGCTGGGATTGTGGTGGAGGGAGGATATGGAAAAAAAGGAATCCTCATTCACCACTAGGTAAGAATCCAAACTAGTTAAGGCTCTATGAAAAAAAGAAAAAAGACTCACAATGTTTCATATTGTCTATTCTCTTATTTTCTCTTCTTTTGTTTTTCTCTACATTCCACAGCTGAGATCATCTGGTTAAAAGCTTTCTCTGCATCAATTGATATTATTATATGATTTTTATCTTCCCCTTGTTGATAAGACATTACATTCACTGGTTTGAGTATATTGAGCACATCCTTTCATACTGGGATAAAACCCCACTTGATCACAGTGTATGGTCCTTGCATGAATGTTCATCAGAAATATTGGGCCCCTGTACTATCTCTCCAACTTTGCAGGGAATCTTTTATTTTTTCCTTTAATTTTCTCTTTACCCAATGGTTGTTTAACGGTATTCTGTCCACTTTTCAAATATCAGAGCTTTTCTTAGATTTCTTTTGATAGTTAATTTCTACCTTCATAAAACTGTAGCCTAAAAAAAAAAACAAAACTGTAGCCTGAAAAGACACTTCATATTGTTTTCTATTTTTCTGATTTATGGGTAATGAATTTGTGCCCCAGGATGTGGTCTATTCTGAAGACTATTCCATACACACTGAAAAAAAAATGTATTTGCCAGATTTTTATGAGGTGAAGGGTCCTGTATATGTCTATTAATCCTAGTTCTTCCAATTCTTCAGCTCTTGTCTCCTTACTGATATTTGGTCTGGTTGATAGGTCCAATGATAAGAGAGGGATGTTAAGAGAGGAATGATAAGAGGAATGATAAGAGAGGAATGTGTCTCCCATTACTACCATGCTATTGATTTATCTCTTCTAGGTTGATTAGCAAAGGTTTTAAAAAATATATATACATTTTGGTGCCCTTTCGTTTGGTACATATGTTTTGGGGAGGGGGAGTTGGGGGTGGTCTGGGTCACAACTAGTGGTGCCCAGGGCTTACTTCTTACTCTACACATGGGATCAAGGTTACTTCTGATGAGTTTAGGGGACAATATAGGGTCCTGGAGATCAAATCAGGGTTGGCCTAGTACAAGATAAGAGTCCTATCGACTGTACTATCACTTGGCCCCCAGTACATATTTTTAAGAGTTAAGTCCTCTTGACTTACTTTTCTCTTGACCAGCATACAACTGCCCCTATCTCTTATTATCTGATATAAATACAGCCATTCCTGCTTTTTAATTAACCTGTATAATTATTTTCTAACCTTTCACTCATAGCCTCTGTTTATCCTAGTTCAGCTTTATCTCTTTCTTGCAAGCTCTGATAAAGAGATGGATTTTGTTTATCCTTAGTCATTCAGTCACTCTATGCCTTTTATGAGAGAGTTCAGTCCAATCTCAAGTAAAAACAGATGCTTAATATATAATTAAATTTCAACAAAAATAGAACTTTAAAAATTATCTTGAAAATGCAAAGATAGTTCTCAATTAAAAATTGTATTAATGTAGGAACCAGAAAGATAGCACACAATGCTATGGTACATGCCTTGCATATGCCAACTATTAGTTTCATCCACAGCAGCAAAAGGTCTCCTTGGTATCACTGGACTCAGGAAGTTTCCAGCACACTGCTTAGGATCCTCTGGCCTTAGCATTTAACCACTGGTCTAACTGGCCAGTAACTGCTAGGAGGGGTCCCCAGGTTTCCTGACCACTACTTGGAAGACACCCCCACCCCCACCCTACCCCAACTTAAAAATAATATATATATTAATGTATGGACTGGAAAAATAGTACAGGGGTTAAGGGGCATGCAGCCAACTCAGCTTAAACCATGGTACTGTATGGCCTTCCCAACAATACTTTTATATACCCCTGAAGGGTCCAAAGCACTGAAAGGGTAATTCCCAGCACAGCTTACTCAGGCCCTAACATTGCACTGTTGGGCCAGTTGGCCAGCTTATTAAAAATTCCTGGGCCTCATGAGTACTGTCTGGGAGGAAATTGCTCCCCACTCCCTCCCCCACCACATTCCACCCACAACCCCTGAAACTAAGGGACTATTACAAGATAAAAAGGAGGGTAAACTGAATGCTTCTTTCAAGATACTAGAGTCACAGTAAAATCAGTTGATAAAGCTGGAAAAATCAGGAAACATTATTTAACACAATAAAAAACATTTACTAAAAAGCTATAAACACCATGCTTAATAATGAAATGCCAGCAGCAATCCTTTAAGATCTGAAGCAAAGTAAAGAAGCCTATTAAACCACTTACATTCAACACTTTATTATGAAAAGAGCTGCCCAGCAGGGTATCAATGTTAAGTAAGTAATAATTAGAAGGGAACAGGCAAATTTGTCTGGCATAAATGTTTAAAAGAGTAATTAGATCTATAAGAAAATAAAGCAACATTGCAATGTATGATTAGTAAATATCAACTGCCATTTCCACACACCAGAAACAGATGTTAGAAAATGAAATGTTTTAAAGGCTATAGCATTTTAAAAACTATCATTCCGTTTGCTGAATAATATATACACATTTACTAAGAAATATTCAAAACCTGAAATCAGAACTTTCACAAATCCACCAATCAATGTAGCTTAACTTCGCGGTATACCCTAAGTATACACTATGCACCAAAAGAAGGGAACTGCTCACCAAGCTGACAGATACATAATTGATAAGTTATTTGGGGGGCTGGTTTTTTTAAGTATAAAGTTCCTTAAAAATTTATATCATAAAACAAGAGGAAAATGAATGGGCATATACATCTGTTCATGTAGACTACTTTTCAAAATGATTCATACAAATCTAATGAGAGGAAACAAAACTACACTATCAATTTTCCATACCTTTTAAGTTCTGAACCCTGTGAATGCATTATTTAAGAAACATTTTAACAACAGTATCATAAAAATTAAAAATGAATAAACAACAAAAATTTCTTAAGTACCATTTCCAGTGACAACAAAAAAGAAGGTACCCAGTAATAAACTATATACATGACTTTAACAGAAAAAAATTTACAAGTTGATACATTTAATGCATTGAAATAAAAGTCCAACAGTTTTCCACAAAACTTAAAAAACAACTCCAGTTTAAAAATGTTTGTGAAAAAGCAAAGGGTCAAGAGAAGACAACTATGAAGGAAAAGGTGAGGATCCTTAACTAAAATACCGTAACACTAACTGGGCAAAACAACAGACCACAGAAAAGAATACAAGTGATAAAACTAGTACAGCAGAATTTTGGGGTAGAAAAAGTAGTAGAAGAAAGAGATCAAAGCAAATTCAGGTCTACCAGGTAAGACAAATACATTTAGGTAGGAAGTTACTGGGGGATAGCAAATACTTTTCAGGGAACTTTTCAAGATCCTGACATCAAATACTGAATACAGACTGTATTTGCTATTGTCATTTCTGATATGATCAATTTAGAAAACTTACCATTTTAATCCCACTCTAATGATGACTTTATTGCTTATGCATCTTTTACTGTATAAAAGAGCTATGTTTTCAACTCTAAGTTGTGGTCTGATAACAATTTTTTTCTGTGTCATATTGGTCAGTTTCATCTCTTATCACTTTAGCTAACAATTCCTGTTCAGAATTTATGGGCTATGTAAAAATTTCATTTAGGGGCCAAAACAATAGTACAGTGGGTGGGGTGTTTGCCTTGCAATTGGCCAAACTGCGTTTGGTGCCTGGTACCCCACATGATCCCCCAGTACCACCGAGAATGATTCCTGAGTATAGACCAGGAGTAACCCCTGAGCGACACGAGGTGTGGCCCAAACCACCGCCATCTCTGCCCAGATAAATTCAGTTAGTTAAACATTGCTTTGACACATGTTAATGTAAGAAATTATATTTATAAAAGAAACCTTAGGAGATTTAATGTATCTATACAAACATGTAAGAAACAGTTCACTGACAACCCGAAGACCTTACCCTTTTCAGGCAACTCTGGACCTCTTCCCCTACTTCTGCCTAGCCGATCATTCCTAATTTCACCTCGAGACTCACTTCTGGAATCATTCCTTATTTCAGTACGAGAACTTTCTTCTCTCAAATGGTTTCTGCCATAACTCCGGGATTCTTCCTGATACGTGTCCTCCTTTCGGTGTGTATCACGATTGTCACGTTCCCTGTAGTCATGGGCGTCACGAGCTGACCGAGAATCTCTGGGATCACGGCTGTCTTTATTGTCTCTGCTATAGTCTCTCATCTCCCTGGAGTCCCGAATGTCTCTAGAATCTCTTACTTCCCTTCGGTCTCTAGTATCTCTGGCATCTCTTCGATCCCGACCATCTCGAGGGTCTCTGTCATCTCTGTGTTCTCTAGAAGAGCTCTGATCCTGTTCATACTCTCGATCTTCTCTTACCTCCTTGTCTCTATCTCTCTTGCCTCGAGTTTCTGTAATACAATTTTGGAAATCAACCTTAATTGCTTCTACAAAATTTTGAGCAATTAGACAAATAATAGTTACAATCCTTCTTAAGCTAAAGTTCCAAAGATAATTTTCTTAGCATTTAGACAACTAGGTTCTTGATTGGATAAACTTGGATAAAACTCTGAATCTGATTTAGAAGTCTTAACAGAAACTTAAATGTTGGTCTAATATAACTGCTACTCTACTTTTTTAGAAATGACTTTAATTTTACCAAGTATTAAATTAGATTAGACTATATGATTACCTCAAAGGTACTTAGCTCTGGAGGATACCTCTCAGTATACTAGCTAGCAATGAGGTAATTTTTTTGTTGTTGCTTATTACATCGAGCTGGAGCAACAGCACAGCGGGTAGGGCATTTGCCTTGCACGCGGCCCACCTGGGTTCGATTCCTCTGCCCCTCTTGGAGAGCCTGGCAAGCTACCGCAAGTATCTCGCCCACACAGCAAAGCCTGGCAAGCTACCTGTGACGTACTTGATACGCCAAAAACAGTAAAAACAAGTCTCACAACTAGGGCTGGAGCGATAGCATAGAGGGTAGGGTGTTTGCCTTGCACGCAGCTGACCCAGATTTGATTCCTCCACCCCTCTTGGAGAGCCCGGCAAGCTACTAAGAGTATTCTGCCCGCACGGCAAAGCCTGACAAGCTACCTGTGACATACTCGATATGCCAAACACAGTAACAACAAGTCTCACAATGGAGATGTTACTGGTGCCCACTCAAGAAAAATCGATGAACAACAGGAGGACAGTGACAGTGACAGTGCTTATAGGTCATGCCTGGGTAGTGGTTAGGATGCACTCCTTGTTCTGTACTCAGGGATCACTCCTGGTGATACATAGGCACCATAGGCAGTGTCAGGACTGAGTCTGGGTTAGCAACATATGAGAGAAGTGCTCTGCCTCCTGATCCATCTCTCCAACTCCAGAGACATTTACTTTTCACTGTCACTGTCCTCCATTAAAAAAAATCTTACATTAAGTCAAAGAACTGACATGAGAGCTTCACAGAACAAACCCTGCCCTTTTTATCAGATTCTTTCATAAGTTGCTCTTACATTCTGGAACTGTCCCAAGGTCTGTACTATTTAGGCAACTATATTCATGGTTAGACACTGTAAATTTTTATTTTTTTCTGCTTCCAATGACTAGATCCATAGACTTTCATAAGCACCCAAACAACCATGCTCCACCAAACCCCTTACATTTTCATATCAGTAACTTATCTCCCCCACAATGATGTCTTTCACAAATGCCAATTAAGGATAGAAGCACTAGGTAAGAATTTGTATTTCTTCATTCCTTTTTATTGGGATCTATCACTTCCAGTTCTCTTAATGGAAATTATGCTCAAAATTTTGTTCACTTTCTTTTTTTAATGACGCTCTTATCTATCTTTACAAATACATATAATACAATACAGGTATAAAATACATGTAAACACATAAACATATTCTGTTGTGTTCTTACCTATCTTCCCATCCTTCCACCATGATTATTATTTCAGAAATGAAGTTTAAATTTAAAGAAATAAGAATCTGTTTCCAACATCTCTTATATGTAAGGTCAAAGAAATATCTTAGAAACCTTAAAAACATGGTTTATCTTTGAAAGGATTATTACCATAAAACATTCTCATAACTTACAACTGCATACTATTTCCATCACATTAGCATATTTAATCCTAATGTTCTACAACAGTTTTTATTCAACAGGTAATCATTCACTATAAACAATACATTAGTTTTAAAATATCTTATAGGTGTAAGTATTTTCCCATTTTATCAATGTTCCATAAATACTATTATGCCGATCAGGTTCCAAAATCATGTACACAAGGAAAAATTCTATCAAATAGGTTCTCTCTCCAGTCCCTACCTAGCATCTATCATTTTCTGAATAAAATAACTTGATTATCTTGCACTGTTGATAGGAAGAGAATAACTAAGTTCAACATGTTTCATGAGAGATTTCTGTACTATACTCACGACAGGCTTTTAAAATGCTTAATAGAAATGTAGGACTGGAGTAACCAAGTGGCTGGAGCCCCTGGAAGCCAAATCTGCTCTTGACCTTGTGCAGGAGTTCCTAAATGGTGCCTGCTTTCCTAACTCGTGCTTGTAGATTGCTTTTCCTAGTGAGAGTTTACGTGCAACTGTTTAAATGTAGCTTGTCTTTTGTTTTGTTTTGTTTTTGCTTTTTGGGTCACACCCAGCAATGCACAGGGGTTACTCCTGGTGATGCTTGGGGGATCATATGGGATGCTGGGAATCAAACCCGGGTCAGCTGCATGCAAGGCAGATGCCCTACCCGTTGTGCTATCACTCCAGCCCCTAGCTTGTCTTTTTTAGATTGGGTATTCTTTTAGTTGGGTATTCTCTTTGGGGGTGAATTTTTTTTCGTTTATTGTTTTGGTTTGGACAAACTGGCAGGCTACCAAATGTAACCTGCCCACACGGCAGTCTGGCAAACTCCCCGTGCTGTACCCAATATGCCAAATACCAGTAACAATGATGGGTCTCATTTTCCTAACCCTGAAAGAGCCTTGAATATGGCACTTTTTTAAAAATCTCAGGGCTAGGATGAAGGAGACGTTACTGGTGCCTGCTCGAGGCAGTCAACGAACAACAGGATGGTCGTGATCGTGATTGTGACTGCCCAAGCACACTCATAATATTCAAAAACTAACTCAGGAAAGGTAGTACATATGACTTGTGATATTAAATAAATAAGGACAAGAAGCTAAAAATGAGAAAATAATAAGAACTCTTAGACTTACTGCCAAATAATACAAGAAATCCACTTGCAGGGACTACTAAATTCAATTAACTTAATTTCTCAATTTCTCAGGAATCTAGAAAGGAAACTTGTTAAGACTTTGAGTTACACGTGAAAAAGTGATCACTTAAGTGTGTATTGTACTTCTTTATGTTCTTCCAACTCTTCTTTATCAAAGTAATTCTGATACTTTTGAACTCTGCTCCTTGGGGTTTGTGGCTTTTCTTTTCTTCTTTGTTCTAGAGAATGAACTAACAGGCTGAGGATGAGACTCAGTGATAAAGCACATGTCTTAATGTATGAAGCTCCGGGTTTGATCTGTGACACTATTAAGGGAAGTGGAAGGGGGTAACTAAGTACTATAACAACAAAGAATCAGAATGCAAGTAAAACATTTTAACTAAAAAAAAAATCACCGACTTTACATATTAATGCCTATTTAATAGATTATACCCATACCATTAAGCATCTTCCTGCTCTCAAAAACTTTCCTGTTTCAGAAAACCAAATAAAAATTTTCTTTTATTCCTTATTATAACAACAGGGGAACTAAAAATAAGACAAATTATAGTATATACCTTCTCTCCTTTCATGACGTCGATCATGAGACTGTGAAGTTCGTTCATGATCATGCCTCCCTTTCTCTCGCAAGGGAGAGCGATGTCTTGGGGGACTTTGCTTTCTTGGTGAAGACAAAGAATGTGAAGGATAAGGAGAAGCAGAACGCCGTAAAGGTGGAGTTATTGTCCTCTGATAAGATGGTGAAGGGGTTCTTTTTCGACGAGGAGAAGGAGAATGTCTTTGAATAGATGATCCTGATTGTGAGGAAGATGAGTGATGTCTAGAAGACAGAGGAGAATGATGTTGCCCTATGGGTGAGGTAGACCTATAAATAAAAAACATTCAAGAGCCTTTACTACTGAGCAATCTAGGACTAAACAGACCATTCTTGATCTGGTGGAGGATAGACACAAGCTCTATGTGGCCTATTAAAAATAAGTGATAAGTCACTATAATTGATTCTATTCGGAATTTATTTATGGTTCAGCTGAAATGTTCAATGGGTCTTACCCAAACTCAGAAAGCAATTATGAATAGTGGCCACTTAAATGCATTCCAGAAGAATCACTGTAATTACTATTGTTCCTTGCTTTCTAATTTTAATTATGTTCCAGTCAATTTGGAAATATCTAAAGTAAAACATGCAGTTTAACACTGAACTGGAATTTTAGTTGATTTTAAATATATTTCTAGGTGTTACACACAACTTTTTTTTTTTAATCACCCTTTGTGACTAGTTTATGGAGTTTAAAACAAAACCTGAAATATATTATCATCTAATCTTATTTCAAGTCAAATTTGGTGTCATTCAATAGCATGAGAAATGACAAAACCTTAAGTTCAAGCCTCGGGTTATTAAATTATACTATGATCAGAACACCAGTATGTTGTCAAATTGTCAAACTATAGCATTTTAGTCATTTACCTAGTCTTCAGGATAAAAAAAAAGGTTTAGGTTGAAAGTAGACTGGACTGAACATGTTCGCCACTCAATGCCTCTTTGGCTGATCACAGCGCCCAGGAGGAGAGAGAGAACAGGGGGGAATGCCCTGCCACAGTGGCAGGGGGAGATGGGGGGATGGGAGGATGGGGGGGAGGGATATTATCCTGGTGGTGGAAAATGGGCACTGGTGGAGGGATGGGTATTTAATCGTGGTATGACCGAGATCCAAGCACAAAATTTGTAAATCTACAACTGTACCTCATGTTGTTTCACTAATAAAAAAGAAAAAAAAATTCAATCAATAAAAAAAAAAAAAAAAAAAAAAAAAAAAGGTTTAAAAGCCTGATGGTCATTATGGGTTGAGTATACTGTTCTCCCAAAATTGTTTGTTGAATTTCGCTCTACTGCCCCAAACAGATATTGATCTAGATTCACATGATAGTATTAGCATCATTATAAAACTGAGATCAGAATTCATTTTTTCCTTCATGTGAGGACACAATGACAGACAATCCATAAGGCGGCTATTTTGTTACATTAAGTCCAAGCCTAAGGTGAAAAGAGCACTTTCAGATTTTCCCATATTACTACACTTTTAAAAGGTGACAGAATAATGAAAAAAGAGAATCCATCAGCAAATTGGGTTGAATTATGGGTGTAAGCCAAACCAGACTCTCTTTAGGATCTGGACTTATGTTCATTGTGCATATACGAAAGGTGTGCCAAAAAAACTGGAATCTGGCCAAAATTATTAGCAGTTTCGTTTCCAGAATACTACAGTAATATACTCAAAAAATAAGATATTTCTTTATCTGAGGGAAAAAGATAACAAAATTTAAATTAAAAAAAAAAAAGCTTACTGAACAAATAAAAGTTAATACTTTTTTTTTAAAAAAAGTATATTCTTTCCAAGCACAGTGATTTATAGCACACGAAGAAAACCGATCTTTAGCTATATTTCAATCAAAAGCATTTTTAATGTTGTTATAATTAAAACCCGATGTGAAATGAAAATATCTGGGGAATGTTTCATTTAAAGAAAATATAAAAGACTAAGAAATTTTTTAAGAAAAACTCCTACCCATGATGCAAAACATTTTACCTTTGAACCACTGTTTATCTTTAAATATGAAGTTATTATTAAAATGCCACTTTGAGGGGCAAAGAGTACAGAGGGTAGGACACTTGCCTTGCACAGGGCTGAATTTGATTCCCGGAACACCATTTGGTCCCCAGAGCCCTGAGCAAAGAGTCAGGAGTAAGGCCCAAGCATAAGCTAGTATGGTCCAAATTCCAAAAAAATAAGTTGCTGAACAAATACTAAGTGAGTACCTTCTATGCTCCAAGCATTATTTTGGTGCACCGCACAAAGTGAAGACAAAACCATTAACACGATAATGATGAAAGCTCTAATATCAATAGCATCTAATATACTTAGTTACTGTGTACATGAGACAATTTTCAGTGCTTTACGTAGATAATTTCTTTTTATCTTTAAGAATGCAACCGTGTCGTAACTGTGAGGACTGAGAACCAAGTCTAACTAAGCCAATGATAAAGTAAGGCAATGTTCCACTTTATTAAACAAAACTTTAAGTGCCTGAATCTTCTTGACTTAATTTCGTTTACATATTTATTTTTCCCTCCCCTGGATGGTTAGGGCCCTCAGGACTACATCAGGCTATGCTCAGGTAGTCAGGTAGCATGGAGCTTTGTGCTAGATAGACAGTCCTTTGAGTATGGATTTTTTTTCAGGATTTGTGTCATAGTTGGTGGTTCTCAAGGGACCGCTTAAATCTGGGTTTACCTGGTGCAAGGCAAGAAAGTGCCTTACCCACTGTACTTTCTCTCTGGCTCCATGCACCTTATTTTCTCTCCTAAACTATTATTTACATGAAAGTACTTTTGAGCTATACAGACAGAATTCAATTAAGCACATAACTATGGATAATTCATTAGCAAGCAATTCCCAGTATGAATACAAAGGTTACATTTTAATATAAAATGGTGGCATATCTTTTATGATGTGTTAACAAACAGTAACTGGGAAATACTATAAAAGATATTCAACCATGCCTTCGAAATTTGTATTTTAAATTATTACATACTCTTTCTTCAAGTTATAATAGCAATTACATGTATTTTTAAATGTCTTTTTTTTTTATGTAGGAGTACTGCTATTTATTCAGCCACTGATTAGGCTGATTGAATTGGGCATGAACTCCACCTTACTTTCTTTTCTTCATTTTTATAATTTTATTTATTGAATCACTGTGAGAGCAGTTACAAAGCTTTCGGATTTAAGTATCGGTCATACAATGAAACACCCATACCTTCAGTGCCCATTCTCCACCACCAAACTCCCCAGTATACCCCCATCCCACACCCTCCCCCTACCTGTGGGGCAGATGATTTTCACATTACTCTCTACTTTGATTACATTCAATATTTTGACACCAGACCCACCATTATTATTTGGGATTTTACCCCAACACTCAGATCTGCAGAAAAGGCAACAGTAGACAATTTGTTTTCTATTGCTGGTTATGAATAACATATGATGTTGCGCAGTTGCAGTAGTGGCCGCGCAATTTTGAAATTCTGAAATTTTAACAATTAAATCTGGAGGGATTTCTGCTAAAACCTGCTGGGTTCCGAGACTTGTTCCTGATTCTCTGCGATCATGGCCGCTAAGCAGCTTGATCAGGAGCCAGAGAGGCTCTTCGTGGGCGGCAACTTGGGTATTGTTGGGATGGGGAGGAAAGGGTCAGCTCCACCCCCATCCCGTGAGGCCTCTCATGTCTCATCACTGAGGGCCCAATTTTGACTGTCCAATGGTCTCTGGAGGATGGTGGCCACTGAGCTACCAAGGGGGAGCAGGTGGAGGGACAGCACCCTTTTCCCCCTGGGGTGGCCCAGCAACAGTAACCTACTCGGGATCTGGAAGCATTTCTGCCAAAAGCCGCTGGGTTCAGATATTTGTTTCTGAGTCTCTGGGATCATGGCCGTTAAGCAGCTTGATTAGGAGCCAGAGAGGCCTTTTGTGGGCGGAAACTTGGGGTCTCGTTGGAACACGGAGGAAAGGACCGGCTCCACCTCCATGCCGTGAGGCCCCACGTGTCCCATCACTGCGGGCCCAAACCTGACTGTCCAGTGGCCTCTGGAGGATGACAGCCACTGGGCTGCCAGGGGGAACAGGCCAAGGCACGAAACCTATTCCCCTTATTGGCCCGGTGCTGGTAATCTACTGCGGGGATTGGATGCGTTTCTGCCAAAAGCCATTGGGTTTTGAGACTTGTTTCTGAATCTCTAGGGTCATGACTGTGAAGGAACCAGAACAGGAACCAGAGAGGCTATGCCTCCAATTATATAGCTGAGCTGGAGGTGGTACATGGGTGTGTCTCCCACACACCTAACTTTTGGCTGTTCACTTTCTTGGTAAACTTTGCCCCAAGTTTTTAGGGTCTGGCCAAAGGCACAGCAGCAATTTGGGGTATCTGGAAGTCCGAATGCACCATCAGGCTGCTGATGCACTCGCCTCACAGGTACAGATTGAATACCTGCTGGTGGCACTGAACCTTCAAAATGTCTTTTTTTCTTTAAAGATACATACTAAAATGTATCTTTAATGAAATGAAATGCCTGGGATTTTTTTTTTCCAAAACAAAAATGGAGGGGAGTAGAGAGACGTACAATGAAACAAAATGAATGTAAGAGGCCTGCTCTTCAAGTCCATGTTCCCCCTTGAACACTATCTTCACTGCTTATCTCTTTCTTTGCTTGCCTTTACCACTCTTGAGAAGCCTACATTCACTTTCATGTACTTCTCCCTTTCTATCCCTTCACATCTTGCTAAGTAAGTTTCAATAAAAACTTTATTTCACAAAAAAAGGAGCATCATTATACTATTGCATTTTTGTGTAAGCAATGTTGAATATGTTATAGTAATATCTTCTCTATCATCTTTATAGAATTCAGCTACACTAGTATACCTCTTCTCAAGAAATTATGAATTCAGTCTATATACAATATCGCTGCATATCTGGAACCCCAGACTGGAGTTCAGAACAGTTCAGACACAGTATTTCTGTATGAGTGGTATATACTCAATGAATCAAGAATGGCTCTAATAAACACTTTTCAAAGGCATAAATACAGTAATTCGGATAAATGTGTACAACTGTTGAAAGAAAACAAGACATCAATTTGATGGCAATTTTCTTATTCTATCAAGCTAAAGTCAAAGTCAAGTTCGAATAATTACATCTGTCTTTCAAATCTGGATAAATTTTATGCACGCATTTATATTCCTGATTATTAAATACAGATACCCATATTAAAAACAAAAACAACTAGCTATGCCCTAATATTTTCTCACTTAA